CAAACTCAGTCTTGGCGCGGTCAGGTTCATCCATGGGTACTTGCCAGTATCCTGATCCAGCGAGGAAAAGCACCAGCGAGGAAAAAATCCAGCGAGGAAAAGAACTCTGCTCCTTGCAAACAGTCGAGAGCGTCATCAATTCAGGGGAGCCGATAAACAGCTTTGCACGTGATCTTGCTAAGACGCCAGTAATCAACACAGAATCGGATGCCCCCGCCTTTCTTTTTGACTAGTACCACTAGGGAGACCCACGGACTGTTGGACGGCTGTATGACGCCACGAATGAGCATATCAGACACTTGATCGTCAATAACTTGGCGTTAAGAGTGAGAGACCCGGTATGGTTGCTGACGCAATGGTGCATGGGCGCCGGTGTCTATACAATTAACAATTGCAGATGTTCGGCCCAAATTGGTTTGCTTGAAGCCGAAAGACGTCCGGAAGCGGTCGAGAAGTGTCAAGAGCTGCGTTCATCGGACAACAGGAAGGTCCGAACAATCGACGGAAGGAAGGCGTCCAGAGAAGATGTGGTGGACGTGGGAACGGGAGTAACACTGGCGATCTGAAGGCTTGTTGTGTGATCGAGCAGTTGACAGACGCAAACACAATCAATATCCTCAAAACGGCCGATGCATTCGCCACTGAATAATTTGGCTGGCCCTGAAAGGAGATTTGTGGCGTACATGGTTGCGAAACTGTTTTCGGCCATTAGAAGAGCAAAAGGTAGCAGAACGTTTTTTCGTGAAGTCCTCAAACGGCGTGAACATGACGTTCGAAAAAGCAGCATGGTCGCAAGAGATCGGCACAGTAACCGAAGACATAGGTGAGACATCTGTGTCTGCGGCGACGACAACACGAGAAATGGAAAGCTTGTTAGAATCGTCGTATGCGAGTGATGATAATTCCAGTTCGGCCCGGGCACAATCAACAACGGCATGATGTGTGGAAAGGAAGTCCCAGCCTAATATCACGTCTTGTGAGCAGTATGAAAAAGCGAATTCGACCACATACAAAACGTCCTGGATGAGTAGCCGAGCCGTGCACGTCATAGAAGGGTTTGCTTGATGCGCAGTTGCCGTACACAGGAAGAAGCCAGAAAGCGGAATCGTAACTTTAACTTGCGACACATTGCTTGACTTAATACACATGGCAGCTCCAGTATCGATTAAAGCTTGAAAAGCAACACCTTCAATGAAAACAGTTATTTCGTTAGTGGGTAGAGGACGAGGACTTGTAGAGTTCGACAGCGGCGCAGTTCTTGCCTCCCGAAATGCGATGGTCAGTTTTCCATTTGGGCAGGTGGTGCACGCCGAAGCATGAGTGAAGGCGAACGTCGGCGTGGAGAAGGTGATCAATGCTGGTTGAAGGCTCGGCGACTCGGTGGAGCGGTATCCGAAGTAGCATCGAGAGGCAGCGTCTGTGGTGGCTCTATGCGGGCGCAGCCGTAGGTTTCATCGATGGTACCTGGATGAGGGACGTGCCGGCGACAGAACCGCTCAACATGGCCAGGCAGACGACAGTAGTAGCAGATGGGTCTGTTATCCGGTGTGCGCCAAGGATTGTTGGGAAGCGTTGAAGGACGGCGGGAAAGGGGAACATGCGAACCTGTCGGTATGCGTGTTGCGTAGAAGGCGTTCGTTTGGTGGGCAAAGTCGACAACAATTGACGGCACATGTGCCGGCCTTCGCACGACGTCAGCGTAAGTTAGAGGAGCGGACACAGGTGGTGGCTGGTACGTGGGCGGAAGTGCCTCGCAGACTTGCTCTTCAATGGTTTGGCGCAGCAACGAGGAGGTCAACCCACAAGTATTGCTGGGAAGGAAGGGCACAAGAGACAACTGGCGAGCCACTTCTTCTCGGATGAACTGTTGGATTTGCGGCATCAATACCGTCTGTTCCAGTGAAATTTCACCAATGGTCAATGGTGACGTGGTCGTCATGTCGAAAGTAGGGCGTCGTGTTGAAACGTGCTGTGTTTGCAACTCATCGTAGTTTTGGCGGTGCTGAATAACTTCGCCAACTGTTCGCGGGTCTTTCGCCACCAGCATGTGGAAGGCATCATCTTCGATGCCCTTCATAATATGTTTGACCTTTGCTGTTTCGGACATTTCGGGAATGTAGCGACGGCAGAGGCCCACAACGTCTTCTATGTAGGACGTGAAAGCCTCTTCAGACAGTTGGGTGCGATCTCGCAAGCGCTGTTAGACGCGGAGCTTGCGTACTGTTGGTCGGCCAAACACGTCCGCGAAGGTGATCTTGAACATGGCCCAGTCGGTAAGCTCAGCTTCATGTTGTTGAACGAGAGCTCCGCAACTCCTCTCGGGTAAAAGTGGACGTGGCCAAGTTTGTCGTTTTCGTCCCACCTATTATTGACCCTTACTTTCTCATACGAGGAGTGCCAGTCCTCGACGTCCTGCGCATCGGTGCTGCTGAAGATGACTGGGTCTCGCTCTCTCAGGACACCGGGCCGGTGGGGATGTAGGAATGGTCTGCTGTGCAACGTCGGTGGACAACGTTGACGGCGAAGGCAGAGTTCGGTTGCAGAGTTCCAGGATGGAAATGGATCCAGCACCTCCACCACTTGTTAGTACGCCTTTAGCAGTGAGCCGAAGACGCTTTTATTGAGGGAAACGCAGCAACAACACTCTTTCTTCTCTTCTTTCACTGGCGCTCCTGCCTGTGCCATATATCAATGCTACAATATATATATATATTTACAGAATACTGTCAATACCGCATGGGGATTATTACAGGGGTGAGCATCACTGTCACAACTTTTGACGTTTGAAACAAGAAAAATCAGAATTATAAAGAACACAATCACTGAACACAGCAGTACGGCATAAAACAATCATATATAGTTATTTGAACCATAACCAAGTACACCAATGATACACCGACAAACAAGCAGGAGTTGAGAAAAAATAAAGCATAGAGAGAAGAAAACACAGATCACGTATTATTAGCAAGGAACCGTATTAAACAAATATATGCAGACAAGTGCTTTGGTATGACAATTGGAAGCAGGAACGGCTGCGTGAAGAAAAACAGGTGATCACTGTACATGCTAACTTGGTTAGAATAGATCAGTACCTTCAATTAGTTTCACAAATTTCTCTAATGTTGACTGCTGTGTAATGACTGGATTCAGTGTGTTCCATTCTCGAATTACGCGCAGGAAGAACGAATAAAAAGAAATATTACTATTAAATGAGTATTCTTTGAGTTCCCATGCATGCCTTCGCCTCGTCGGTCTGGTGTCTCGAAAGTTCAAGAAGATTTGGGTTTATGCGGAATGATCTGTGTAAAAGTAGATAAAGAAATTTAAGCCGGAAAACCTTTGCACGACTGTCAAGAGTGGCTAGACCAGCACGGTGTAAGAGAGCAGCAGGTGAGTCATTGAGCCCGTACCTGTTGAAGATAAAGGGCACTGCTTTCCGCTGAGCCCTTTACAGTATAGCGATATTATTCACAGTGTGAGGGAACCACACAATACTAGCATATTCTAAGACCGGGTGGATAAATGTGACGTAAGCAAGAAGCTTCGTTTCATGTGTGGCGAAAGACAGGGCCCGTTTAATAAAAAATAATTTGCTCATCGCTTTTTTGGATACTTGACGCACGTGCTCTGTCCAACTAAGATCAGACGCAATTGTGATACCAAGATATTTGTACTGGTCTCTTTGTAGTGGCACATTATTAAAATGATAATGAAAATCAAATTTAGACACCTTGTTGGTAATGGACATATATTTGTGTGTGTGTGCGATACCATACTACTCTGGAAGTGTGGTTTCAGGACGCAACGTATGCATCAATGCCCAAAATGACTGCATATGATAAGGCACTGCAGCTAAACAAGCTACGTGCTTTAGCAATAATGTCAAGTGGGGGCTGAAAAGGTGTGTACACTTGAGTACTCCCAGGTGACAGGAAATGACAATATGCATGTTCGCCGCTATCTATGTGTGCTAATAACCCCGCCGCGGTGGTCTAGTGGCTAAGGTACTCGGCTGCTGACACGCAGGTCGCGGGTTCGATTCCCGGCTGCATTTCCGAAGGAGGCGCAAATGCTGTAGGCCCGTGTGCTCAGATTTGGGTGCACGTTAAAGAACCCCAGGTGGTCGAAATTTCCGGAGCCCTCCACTATGGTGTCTCTCATAATGATATGGTGGTTTTGGGACGTTAAACCCCACAAAGCAATCAATCAAATCAATTACGTGCGCTAATAAGAGGATATTGAAAGCTTTGCTTTTCCCTGCCATCAGAGTAGCCGAATTATCTCAGGTAACCTGCAGGATCATTTCTTCTCCCTTTTATGCAATAATTAAAGGAGGGCACAACTTATCTATGCAAGGCAACCCCCCTGTGTAACATCACATAGGTGTGCTTATACGACCAGACAAAGCCTCATTACAGCTCCTGCAAAAGAAAGACTCGCCATCGTAGAACTGCGAATGCTAGTCTGCGCACCAAAAATGTCATTAGACGTGAATATCGCACGCGATATATATAGCTGTCAGTTTTGCAGGTTGGGGATCAAATCCCGGCTGCGGCGGCTGCATTTCCGATGGAGACGGAAATGTTGTAGGCCCGTGTGCTCAGATTTGTGCGCACATTCAAGAACCCCAGCTGGTCAAAATTTCCGGAGCCCTCCATTACGGCGTCTCTCATAATCATACGGTGGTTTTGGGACGTTAAACCCTACATGTCAATCAATCAATAGTTGTCAGTTTCCAAGTGAACGGCTTGCTAATCATACCGACAGTCACGACCATCCAGCAAGTTACGGCGACAGTTGTTCTTTTCCAGGCTCAATATGCTCTCCAATAATTGATGATGGCAGTTAGTAATGTCGCGCAGTCACTGATATCTCGCATCCACCACCTAACCAGAGAACGCATCGCTTCCGGAGCAAAACTAGGTCCCTTTCACGACGCTTCAATGCTAGCCGACAACCACATGAAATAGCACACACGATTTTCTTACAATTGTGCTCACCTTTAGATCATTTTCTGGCAAATACTTGCATCGTTGCACGATTTCTACCCACCTATCAACATCAAGCATCGCTTAATTAGTTACAAGTGTCACAGATCTCACACATTCACCCCTGCTACACTAGCCACTGTACCCCTGCAATAGCAAAGGATGGTAACCATGCAATAAAGCTCCGCACTTGACTGACGGTGTTGTTAAAACATAGCCTCCTCTATAACTTTGTGCCCGAGCGGTCGGTCCCTCAGCGCCGTCCCCCGAGCTATTATGGGATGCGAGCGCTCCTGGCGGAGCGCCGAGGCGCAAAACGAGAGAATGGATGGCAGCTATGGAGAAAAAACCGGCTTTGAGTAACTACCGAAAGGGCAAAAATGAAATAAGGAGGGAGGCATTTTACGATAATTCAAGGGGAAGCGCTTTACTGTTTGAAGCGAGATCGGGTTGCCTTAGAACGCGTAGTTATAAAGCAAGATTCAGTAAAGAAGAAGAACAATGCACATGCTGCGGGAAAGATAAGGAAACGGCGGAGCATGTTCTGATTGAATGTGGAGATATCCACCCAGGTGTACGTTTGGGCACGAGCCTACAGGAAGCCTTGGGAGAGCCTCGACAGAAGGAAGACGTTGCTCCCAACGCCAGATGTTGCTGCACTAGCAATGGTTGGTGGCTATATTGCAAGAACAGTCCACGAAACCATTTCCTGTGATGAATGCTTCACTTTGGTGACTAAACCAAACACCTCTGCGCCATCGGATGCATTAATTAGGCACCAGGACAGAGGTGGACTCCTGTATCCGTCAACTGAGCTCGTAATGGTTCTAAATTCTCTAAAGAATTACGCGGAAGTTTTCCTCGCAAGAGCGAGAAAGATGAATCAGCCACTGAAGGCTGCCGTTGACAACGCCGCGCAAATACTACAGAAACGTGACAAACTCAAGTGCTCGACCCCGGGACATCATAAAAAACTTTTGGAGGTTGTGCTCGTGAAGTTTCTCCGCCCACTTTTTCTGAACTTCGCGACGAGTGTGACTGACAAACACGACTTGGCAAAAGATTTCATGTCAAACCATTGTCTCGAAAAGTGCTCAAGCTTTGAGCGCGAAATCAAATAACAAAGCTCACATTGCATTCTGCATACAGTGCTTGTGTTAAAAATTTGGTGTGTGCGCACTTCTTAACGTATACGCATAATCCAATGCAATGTAGACGGTTTCTAGACCATCATAAACGCAAGCGTGCATAGGCCGCGTCGTCTGCTGTTATTATGGGATCGGTGCGGCATCTGGCGGCGAGCGCCAAAACTATAAGGGACGGATGGCGCGTATGTATTTAGCGCTAATGCGCGGGCACAAAAAAATATAGGAGGCTATGGTTAAAATCATTTACAAAAAAATACTTTTATTAATTATGTAAACTATAATAACGTAGTATAAAGTTTATAAAATTTGAAATAATTTTCGAAAAAGCAGTTAGCTAAAGTTTGGTTTGATACCGGCGTTGATAGCAGCCTCGCAGCCACAAAGCGCACACCACGGGCGCACACCAACGCCTCCTCTAGGAAGATGCCTGCCGCATGAGAAAAAAAAAACAGCTGCCAGCACGGAGGGAAGGCTGCCAGACTCTTTCCCTCCTTCATTTCGAAATGTTCTCGGTCGCTAGCGTCATCTGGGGCGGACGGTGCAACACTTTGTATAGCCTCCGAAACAGTGGTGCACAGTTGCAGGTCTAACGTTGATGACAATAGTGTCGGTCGCGAGCGCCACCGCGCGGAGCTTATTTAAAACTGAAGGCAGGCCAACTCCGCTGGGAGCGCGAGCCATTCCTCAGGCATCTTTGTAAGAACATTATTATTGTTCCTATCTAATTTCTCTTTATTTTTTTAGCAAGCGTAGTGAAAAATGATCTATTATGAGGTACAGTGTGGCCAATCCCTCATGTGGGTATGAGCCAAGATCTCCTAGGAGACAAGACAAGACAAGAGTAGGCGTTGCGCACACTAACACAAAAATGGCGTCTTTGCAGACGCTCCTACCTGCTCCTACACAGTCTGTTTTCGATCGAGGGGATGAAGACCGTGCAAGAAAACTTGCCGCTCCATCAACGCACGTTGCGCTCACGATGCGGTCTGCACCACCCTATGGTATGCGAAAGGGCTGGGTTCCCAGAAGTCTCGAAGACTACGGCGATGGCGGCGCCTTTCCTGAGATCCATGTCGCGCAATATCCGATGGACATGGGCAAAAAGAAGGATAAGACCACTTCAAATGCACTTCCAGTTCAGATCGACGCCCAAGGAAAGATCAAGTACGATGTTATTGTACGACAGGGTCAGTCGAAGGACAAGGTAATTTACCACCGATATCAAGACATGCTGCCGTCGGAGATCACAACCGATGACGACCCGACCCTACAGAAACCGGATGAAGAGGCAATCGAGAAAACTACCGAGGAAACCCGGTTGGCGCTGGAAAAGCTAACTCAGTCAAAAATTTCGGCAGCAATGCCGGTTAGAGCGGCTGAGAAAACTGCTCCTGCTCAGTACATTCGCTACACGCCGTCTCAGCAGGGTATGTCGTTCAACTCGGGCGCGAAACAGCGCATTATTCGGATGGTTGAAGTGCAAAAGGACCCCATGGAGCCGCCAAGGTTCAAGATCAACAAGAAAATCCCGCGTGGTCCCCCGTCACCACCGGCGCCCGTGATGCACTCGCCGACACGTAAGGTGACGGTCAAGGAGCAACAGGAGTGGCGCATCCCGCCCTGCATCTCCAACTGGAAAAACGCCAAGGGCTACACCGTACCGCTGGACAAACGCCTAGCCGCCGACGGCCGTGGCCTGCAGCAGGTGCACATCAACGAGAACTTCGCCAAGCTGGCCGAGGCACTGTATATCGCCGACAGAAAAGCTCGGGAGGCCGTCGAGATGCGGGCACAACTCGAGAAAAAGCTTGCCCAGAAGGAGAAGGAGAAAAAGGAGGAGCATCTGCGCCAGTTGGCTCAAAGGGCCCGAGAAGAGCGCGCCGGCATACGCACGCAGGCCGCCGCCGCGACAGTGGACGAGGATGTGCGCGAAAGGGACCAGCTGCGCCACGAGCGACACAAGGACCGTCAGCGCGAGCGTAACATCGCCCGCGCAGCGCCGGACAAGCGCTCGAAGCTGGAGAAGCAGCGCGAGCGCGACATCAGCGAACAGATTGCGCTGGGCATGCCCGGTGCACGCCCTGCCGAAGTGCAGTTCGACCAGCGGCTCTTCAACCAGAGCAAAGGGCTGGACACCGGCTTTGGCCACGACGACGCGTATGATGTCTACGACAAGCCATGGCGCAGTACTCAGACAGGCGTCTACCGACCCAAAAATCAAGACAAAGAAGTATACGGAGAGGACCTTGAAAAGCTTATGAAAACTTCACGATTTGTGCCCGACAAAGAGTTCTCAGGAACAGATCGGTCATCACGGCGTGATGGTCCTGTACAGTTTGAACGGCTAGAAGAGGAAGATCCATTTGGTTTGGATAAGTTTTTGACAGAAGCTAAGAAAGCCAGCAAGAGGCCTACCGAGGAGCAGGACCACCACAGGGACAAAGGCAAACGGCGTAAAGAATAAAAAAAAAGAATGTTTCCTATGCAGTGCTGAGTAACATGAACCATGCTGGCGCATGTGGCTCCCAGTCCTCGTAGCCTGTTCTTGTAGGGTCATCATTGGAATGCTGTATTGGCACTCATGATCATCCCTGCAGGAATGGTTTCTTTTGATGCGAGCTCTTGGTTTGCAGCACAGTTATGTTGGTTGCAGGCATTCTGTATATCGATGCTTGGGTTAACACGTTCTTATATGTGTCCATATGTTTGGTCACCATGTTGCTAGCAGCCATATTGCACATAGTGACCCTCAGGAATGTGGCATTAACTAAATGCTCACTGCAGTTGAGTAGAGCTGTTACCACATGTATATTGGGGGTGTGTATTGTTCACTCATTCAAGGTTTACTTTGATGCCTCAATTCGTTTAATGTTTTGCAATCATATGTCTGGTATCCGCTTGCAGTGACCTAGAGTCGCTTATGTTTTTTTTTTATAATTTTTAAACTACTGTGTTTTTTGTTGCATTTCCATATGTGAAAAGAATGTTCACGTGTCACTCCTGCATGAATAAAAGCAAATAATACTGTCCTTTTACACTATTCTTTAGAGTAACAGTAAAAAACGAAAGTACGTGCAGATATGGTACTATTTTCTCCTCTAGGGGGTATGCACTTGACGGCTTCCACGAGGATCGCTAGCATCAGGGTCGCCATTTTGAAGGTCCGTGCGCTCGCTGCACGCGCTGTGTTCGAAATCTGCATGGCAACTTGGATACTTGAGACCTATGGAAGACTTTATACGCACTGAAACATGGACAGCAGGACCACTTGTACGAATGAACTTTCAAAATGGCACGGCACTGGTGTTACCCTCTTGTGGATCAAGGCTTAGTGCATACCCCCTATACCGCTGCATTTCAGGAAGTTACAAATGTTTTTGAGAGGTTTTGTTAGGACAAAAGGAGCTTTGTCATAGGGTCTCCTTAGTTCAAAAGATAACAACACGTTGCATGTTTAGACGACACAATGACCTTTGAAACCTCAGGATCCATAAGCCATGCTGTCTAAGAGGTTGTACACATCGTAGGATAGTGGTTTGTAGATGAGATTGAATAATGTATCACGATGTCGTTGTGCCTAACGTAGTGCAAAGTTGTTCATGTAGGATTCTTTTAATTCCTAGCTGCGTATTGGTGAAGCAACAAAGTGCAAAACCTTCCTTGTGGCCAATATTTTGGTTCATGATAGAGCAACATAGCTGCACCTTTTGCTAGTGTAGCTATGTTATCTGTCATCATCACAAGTGTCTAGCATTGCATTTATCATTTTCTATTAACTTATCTGCACATGTGCCTTGCTATCCTTCTCATGAAGACCATTCAGTTGTAGTTTTTCTCTCACGTACGTGAATATTTTGAGGATTTTTTGATGTCACATTTTTTATGACTTCATTCTGTATAAAAGTTCCAGACATGGGCAGTAAATGCACACATAATGGATAATTCATCCTGTAAATTGTTTTCTTCAGATTGAAAATTATTTAATATGAAAACTTCATTGCTTAGTTTAATCATTTTTGTAATGAATGTGTCATCTGCTCATGCACAAATGTTGAAAGGTCGCCACTACTTTCTGTGCATCAGAATCAGTTTATTCTTTGTTCATTGATGTTACATCCAATGCTATGGAGGAGGTGGTGCCATAGCACGTGGCTGTAGGCCTCTTATGCAGGATCCATATGATGAAAGCAATATTATACATGTGTACAGAAATTAAGCCTTTCAACATACAAAGAAAATGAACAGAAGAAAATATGTGATCATTGACAACCTGTAGAAAAAATTATAAGGAATATTTTCACTAAGTATTTTAGGATTAATTTATACCAGTTGTTCAAAGTCAAGTGTATGGTTAAGCTATGGATTTCTTGAAATTCAGCCCTGGAAAGATGAAATATACCTTTGCACACAACTTATCTATACAGGAGGACACAAAGTGAAAGAATTGTGACTTTTCAGTTAATTTAATTTCAATTGATTGATTTGTGGAGTTTAACGTCCCAAAACCACCATATGATTATGAGAGACGCCGTAGTGGAGGGCTCCGGAAATTTTGACCACCTGGGGTTGTTAAACGTGCACCGAAATCTGAGCACACGGGCCTACAACATTTTGCCTCCATCGGATATGCAGCTGCCACAGCCGGGATTCGATCCCGCGACCTGCAGGTCAGCAGCCTGCAGGTCGCGCCTGCAGCCTGCAGGTCAGCAGCCTGCAGGTCTAGTGGCTAAGGTACCTTAGCCACTAGACCACCGCGGCAGGGCAATTTCAATTAATTAAGTACTAATCAACTTTTCAGTGACTGCAGTAAGCATGCATATCTATGTTGAAAAGTTGGAGGTAGTTGCGTTTCTACACAGTTGCATTTGGAAGAATTCTTATAGAAATCTGTGCTCCGAGATATACCATTGCAAAGTTTAATTGTGATTTGCATGATTACACATGCAAGATGGTAAATATCAGCACAATATTCCCTTCCGAAGTCACAAACAGCCATAGCTTGCTACCGCCAGAAGTAAAAGGGTAACCGTTATCATCTGTGCCTAGGCTATGCCTTCGACCAGTTGTCAGATAAGCAATGCACGCAACTGCCACGGCCCATCGAGGGGGAGCTTCGCGACAGTGCTGACTGTCTTGCATGCATACTCATGCAAACCACAGTTAAACTTTGCCGCAGGATATCTCTAAGCACAGACATGCTAGAAGAATTATTCCAAGTGTACCTGTGTATAACCGCAAATGCCTCCAACTTTTCAATACAAATATACCCACTTCTTGCTGCAGTTACTGAAAAGTTAGTTATTAAATCTTAGTTAATTGCATCACTGACACATATTTATTGTCTCACTTTGTGTCCCCTTGGATACCTAAGTTATCTCCAAATGTGGTTTTCATATTCTTCCCAATGCTGAATTTCAATAAAATCGTAAGCTTAACTTTGAAGACCCCACATAAACAATAGTTGCAGTGCTTCGGAGCAGTTGAAATTCATCTATTAAAGGGGCTTCGAACACCTTTGGGCTTGGTGAAACAACACAGTCTATAAAGAGAAAACACTGCTGTGAACTGTTCAGCCAAACCTTGCTCTCATGTTTGGCAAGGAGCGTCCACAAGTGGAATGTGAAGTTGCCACTTCCTCAAGTGGCCTTTTCATGCAAAACCTCACTCTTGTGTGCACGCAGAGGAATCTAACTGAGAAAGAGCAATTGCAATTCCTCGCAAGTGATGATCGAATGTCTTTCCCTATGTCATCCCTCCCTGTGTAGCTCCCTGTGTTCGAGGTTCAACAGGAGGAAAGTTCGCAGTTCTAGCCGAAAAACTGAATTGAACAACTTCACTTTCTCCTGCACATCGACGGTGTGGGTGCGCTTTGAAGACGTGGATGGGGAAAGACAGGTGTGCGCTGTCAATTCCCGGTATGCGTCTTCAAAATGCATACACATTGTCGACATGCAGAACCAACTGCATGCAACAAGTTTGCTGACAAGCTTGTCCTGCAATTTATGCATTTTTCTGTTTGTATAGGCACGACCACTATCAAAGGTAAAATGAAGCAGGAGCCACGCTCATCGGCAGGCCAGGTTGTTGTTGTTGTTCACCTATTGGTAGTGGCGCATACCCACTATGGGGGATTGGCCAAGAATCGAGCGATTTTAAAAATTTTGTTCAAATTTGGAATAATGGAGGTATAGCAGAAAGATTACCGATAGCCTAGGAAAGTGTAGTGCTTAATGTAATGCACACAAATATTTACATAAACGAATTTAATCTTAGAATAGAGCAATAATTTGATTTTATATGTATATCATTATGTGGACATGTTAGGATAATGGAACTGGTTAATTAGTCAACCTATTAGTTTCATCAATATAGTCCCGGACGGCCGCGCATACTGTCGCATTAGAGAAACCAGAAATGGAAGCTCCAAAAGACAAAATGACAGGCACAAATACCAATACCACGTAAAGGTATTTCTAAAAGGGTTTTTCGTAATGTGTTAAACCGCCTGCACGTCAAAAAGAAATGATCTATTGTTTCCAGTTCATCACAGAACGCGCACAGTGGCGAAGGTGCCTGAGCAGACTTGTGTTTATAGAAATTTAGGTTTGGTACCCGGCAACGCAGCCTAGTGATAGCTACTTCTTGTTTACGAGTGCGGCAAAAGTCTCTTCGCCAGGGATATAATAAATGGCGATATTCCGTAGAGTTTGTTAGTGCTGAACCTTTAAAGACTTCCATAAGCGTACGTCTGCGGAATCGAGCAGCAGTCACATAAGCGGATGATGGACAGTGCGGTAGAATCGGTTCGCTGATTGACGACTTAGCTAAGGAATCGGCTATTTCATTTAGAAATAACCATTTATGTCCAGGCACCCAAACTAATCGTACTTTTCTCAAGTGCGCGGGTACTAGTGCATGGAATATTTTGCGCGGCGCTCATCGGCCACGCGAGCCGCGTTACCTGCAGCAGTGGCCGCAGCTGTCCCTGCCGTGCACTACGTCGTGCCCCCTTCATGCAGCCGCTAGACGTTGCTCCAAACACGTCTTAAGGAATGCGCTAGAAATAATAGAGCAGCAAACTCAAACACACCACTAAGACACCGCCAAAACCACTCAAAAAGGCACGGAGGCAACGCCTCCTAGATTTTCAGTGCCTGCCAGATGAGCGCGAAACACCCGTCATCTATGACGGCGCTGCCTACCGAGGAGTAAGAGTATTTGTGCTTAGCCTTCAGGATTGGCAATTTTGGCGTTTGCTACTAATTTCAGAGGATGCCTTGTATTAAAAAAAGTTGCTGGCTGAATGACGGCGTCACTTACTTATAATTAATTATAGTTACGTTTACGCCTTTTTAAAACTTTTTACGTTTATTTTGTTGCATATAAGCTCTAAAAACATAAAAACTTATTTGAAGACATCCCTACTTGAGTGGCGCTACCACCGTAGTTCCGACGACCGCCGTTTCCGAAGTGACCACCGATAATCCGTCAGGCACAGGAATCTAGGAGGCGTTGCTAGAGGGCACTCTGGCGCTGCAGATTACAGGCTCGCGATGCAGATTATAAAGGAAAGACTGCAGGCATGGATAGAAGATGAGGGGATGCTGGAATGGGTTTCGGAAACACAGGAGGTTGGAAGACAATCTGTTCTCACTGATGCAGTGCATCGAAATAGCAGAAAAGAAACACATGCCCCTGTGGCTAGCATTCTTGGATATCAAGGGAGCGTACGATAGCGTGGTTCAAGAGGAATTGTGGGGAATACTGGACACACTAGGCGTGGAACATGTAGTCACTAATCTTTTAAAGGGTATCTATAAAGGTAACAAGGTAGTTATAAAGTGGGAAAAACAGGTATCCAAGCCTGCAGAGGTAAAACGGGGGCTTAGGCAGGGGTGCCCCCTGTCACCCTTATTATTCATGAGGTCTCTTCGTTTTGGCTGCACCGGCTGAACCAGTTCAAAGGGTGCAGCACCTTCGTCCTCGTTTTGCCGGAGCAGCGCGCGCCCTCTGTCGCACCCTCTGCACTGGCTCCCTCGTTTTGTCTAGGTGTAAGCCTAGTTCCTGACGAGTTCTGTACCGGCGTGCACGCACTCCAAAGCAGGTGCAGAGTAGTGCAGCATGGCGGGCGTCCCCCCAAGGCCAGAGCAGACGACGTTGCAAATAGTTGTTCAGGGCGTTCAAAAGGAAGTTAAGGCACTTCACAATCCCGACGGGTCATTTATGACGGACGCCAACGGTTACGTCTATGAGGCATCAGGTAAGTCAGGCTGCATGCATTGCCAAAAAACGTGGTTAGCGGCCAGGAGTCGTAGTCGGTCAGCAAACAGCCTCGTAGCATTGCTTATGCTATGTCGGTATTTTTAATCTTGGTTTTCGCCCTTGCAGACGGCAAGCGCGTTACGTTGCGGTTCATGGCAGGGAATCGTGAAAATGACCCCCCTCCGGCACAACCGCCGACGCCTTCTCCTGCCTGCGACGGCGACGTTGACAGCGATGGGGCTTTAGCCGCATTTCCAGCAGCAGCCGCGTCGGCTGAAGATGTGGAAGAGCTTTGGAGCGCCCGAAAAACAAGGTTCTTCATCGCCAAATACTCGGAAATGAAGGACTTGGTGGGAAAAACCAGGGCACTTCGGTATGTCATCCTATGTCCAAAATTATTTGCAGCTTTTTATTATTCCGTTTCACTCTAGGCAAGCACCAACAAGATAAGGGCGCATGAAGTTCACAATGGCGATGGTTATTGTTGCCTACATTTTACTGCCAGCAATTTACATTTTACTGCCCCCCCCCACTGAAAAAAAATTTTGGCTATGCGCCTGACTGTGACATATACGTTTACATATACACACAAACAGTATGTATAGTCACGCACATATATACACAACGAAGGCATTCGTAATGTTTCATTAAGTCAAGTGATCTTCAAAAACAGCGACGGT